TGAGAAGCTAGATTAAGCCATCAAACCCATAATTAACCATTTGTTGCTCCCATTTATCTACAGGATATTCTCAGTTTTCTTGTTCTGTTAAAATAACAATAAATGATCTTTCTTAATTCTCTTTGGTCTTTTTGTAAACAGTTTGCTGGCCATAATTCAGGCTGCTTTTAGTTCACCAGAAATACAAGTGCATAAATACTGATTAAAATGCACGAATTATCAATGATGTTGTACACAGACGAAAGATTCAATTTACAGGCAGGGAAGTAGTCATATTTTTTCTCTGTCTAGATAAAATACATTGAAATTTCATTCACAATCTCAGTGAAGTAATGACTTGGCACTAAAGATTCAAGCTGCATCAACAAGGGGCATAAGTTTTAAATGCTGATGCTTAATCTGCTAGAGGGACCAAAATTTGACTTTTGATCAGGCCAGAATGAATATGAATGATTATTCTTATTTTTACTACTACTATTTATGTCTGTGTGTCCATGTGTGTCATTCTATAGACATGGTGCCCAATTCTGTGAGCAGAATATCCCTTTGCCCACACAATGCATGCACGAAAAGACACATTAAAAGGTCTGAAAAGCTGAGGAACGCTTTCTGGTATCACCATTGTTGAGAGAGACATGGAATTTGTTTTTCTCTTCTGACATAATACTAAATTTCCTTTTCTACCATGTCAAGCTACCATCAGGCTCTGGGTGCTCAGTGCTTGAAAGAATGGACTAAAAGTGACTTCTAATTAGGAGACTTGTTAAAATGCATGCTTTAGAAACCTCCTCTTGGGATAGCCCGCTCCTCAGACCACATGATGATTTTGCCTGCTGTCCAGTGCCTTAGATACAAGGTAGAAAACCTCAAAGTAAGAAGAAATGAGAGCTCACAGAATGAAGAAAACAGGGAATTGTGTGAGTTGGTTCTCAGAATTTTAATATTAGTTTGTGCTGTCTAGGCCAGATAGATAAGATGTCTTAATGAAGTACTAATTGCATTGCATTCAGACATCACAAATAATCCTGAATACGGGAGTTTGTCATTATTCAGTTCTTTTTCCTTTATATAAAGGATATTAAGAGAGTTTGAGACAAATCATTATAGTAGGAGGTGATTGTTCTTTGCAGCAGAGTCTTTTTGTTTCATAATCAGGGAACCCTGTTTTAAAGTGAAGACTAATGACATGCAACAGAGCCATAGAAAAGTGTGCTTAAGCTTTTAAAGATGAAATCCAGGACCCATTTATTCCAGTGCTGGTGGGGTGTGCATGCCCATGGGGAGGATGTTTTACACAGTGGCTCAAAGATGGGCAGACCTAAACCAAAATGAACTGTCATGTCAAACTTTTCTGTTACAGCACACAGTGCACAACTAATTGCAAGTTGCTAGTTGAAGGTTCCTGTCGGCTACCATTTTTGCTCAGTTACAAAGCAAGTTATCAACATTTTATTCATATGCACTGATTCAACTTTCTTTTTATTTTTAAAATGCATTCTACAGCCCAATTAAAACCCATTCAGAATTAGTGATAATATTTAGACTTAAAAGTATGCAGGATGTCCACAGCAAGTTTTAGGTGTTCTAAATAATAGTTTAGATGTGATATAAAACAGTGTCCTTATTGCCGAGCAGTAGCTAAATCTCTCCAGAGTAACAACAGGCAGAAAATAAAAATAATCCGAGACCAGGTCCCGAGATCACTTTTTTTTCATTCTCCTGGTCCAAATCAAAATCCTGCACAATCCTATGTGTGGGCAGCACCCAGGTATTTCTGCTTTGAGGATGGGATTCATTTCATGCAGTTTTAGTCACTGAAAAGCTGCATTCAGTTTTTACCTCTTTTATCAAATTATTAGGCCTCTTCTGTAGTCAGTAGAGATGGACCACCTATCAGATGCCTTCAGTGACCATGTGCCTGTCCATAACTGGGGCAACAGCACCAAGATGGAGTCAGTTGCTTTTCCTTGTACATCAACCATAGGGAGAGCCACTGTGATACCCTTGGACTGGAAGCCCAATGTTTTGGTGGCTCATGCTAGGTAAGGTAAATCCCACTCCTTGGAGCCATGGTCTGATTTAGCAATCAGATTGTCAAAGGTTTCCTATTACCTCCATCTCTCTTCTACTCCTCTCTGGAGCATTGTCCAAGAGTGAGATAGCAGAGGTTGTTGTTACTAACCATGCTAACTGCTTACATGAAGCTGCATATGGATGAAAACACTCATTCTAGGTGAGGGACCAAAGATGGAAATAGAGAGTATTTTACACTTATGGTTTTAGTAGCCTGACAGTTTTTCCCAGACAGCATCTGGAGCATTGGACATGGGCTGATTATTTGTGCGAGATCTGATCTCACCGACTGTGAGTGCACTCCAGCTGGCAGCTCTAATCTGCTTCTATCTCCTGCTGTTTTCCTGTCATTTCCCTGTAAGCTTTTCTCAGGACATTTTGCTACTAACAATGTCACTGTTGTGCCTGAGGAGGAAAGAAAGGTAGAGCTGGTTGAATCTTCTCCAGCAAAGAGTTTATGTACCAAGAGAAAAAAAAAAAAAAGGAATTTTATGTTAAACTGAGATTATTGATGATTTGCAAATTTTATCTAAAAAAAAAAATATTTCTATGTTGGACTCTTAGCTAAGAGGATGTAGGCATCTTTCACTCATCCCTGAGGATGAAAAGACATCCTTCTGTTGTATATCCTGGCAGAGAGGGCACCAGCCAGGGGTGGTGGAGACCTGAGCTCTACTTGCTTCACAGCAGGGATTCAATTCAGTCTCCTTGAATCACAGAGCTGTTCCCTAAGCACAAAATAGTGTCTCTGGCTGAGAATAGGCAGTTTTATGGAAAAATAGGACAGCTTTAACAATCCACAGTGTTCTGTACCTCTGGGATGAAGATGCTATGTTATAGATCTCTGCTTAGCATCAGTCGGAGAGAAAAATCTCAGATGAGTGTCCTACTCACAAAACTGTACAATGCACAAATAGCACTGCCACTGCTTCAGTGGTGGTCTAGCTGTTGCCCTCTTTTTAAGTCACTTTTGTAACCTTGAGCAATGTTCTTTTGAACTGCTAGATGTTTCAGTGAAGTTTGAGTGAGGTCAACAGAAGGCCATAGACTGGGACACATGCTGTTTGAGGACAGAATTTGAGTATATTTTCTCTCAAGATAAGTTTCCTAGGCTGACAAATGGTAGTGCAGTTGAAGGTCACTAAGACAGCCAAGTGGTGGAGCATGAAGTTCACCTTTTTAGCAATGAAAAACATCTCATGAGTAATTTGAAACTATGCAAAAAAGTGTAATTTAGCCCTACTGTGTTGGAACACTGCCATTTTGGCTGTTTGTCGTGAGAGCATTACTCTGTGGGATCCATCTTTTTCTGATCGGTGGATATTAAATATTTAGACACCTGGCCTTTATATGACTGCTAACTGCTTCCTTGGAGAAACACCAATGAGAAGCTTTTGCCAGAACAGGTTGCTACTGTCAGCAGCCCCCTTTTTTCTTTCTGGTCAGGACTGTGTCCACATAGGGTGGGAGACTTGATCATGGTCAAAGCTGGTGGGTTCTAGGTGTTCAGTCGGCACTGTCTGCCTTGGCCAAAGAGTACAGCAGTTTTTCACTCTCCTTTTTAAAGTATTTTGAGATCATTTATCTCATGAAAAAGTATCCCATAAATACACACCAGATAGAGGAGTTAAAAGAAAGCTACAGAGCTTCAAGAGCCAAGAAATGGGATTTCTATGTCATTTCCTTGGATAACTTTGCATAGGAACTTCTGTCACGCTGCTGGATGAAAGCTACAACCGCTATGCACAACTGCCGCATGCCAAATCAGTGCAAGCTGCATATTATGATGAAGATACCTTTTTTGAAAGGTTGACCCTCAGAAGGAGCCCTGCCACACCAGGGCACTTATCACCTTCTGATCTTTACCTCTCTTAATTTATCAATGGCAATTTTTGCAGCTTGTTGAGCTTTGATCAAAGTATCTTAAGGCCACCTCACTTATTTCTATCTCTTCTGCCTGCTGCTTGTCTGAAAGAAAGCATGTTGTGAAATACTACAAACAAAAAGAGAAAGGATGATTTGTTTATATATCTGGCAATCCATCCAGCATAATGGTAGATCTTTCAGTGACCTTTTTGTGAAATTCAGCCTTAACTCAAAAGTGATAGAAATAGGCACAAGAGGACAATAGAAAGTGACAGCAACAGCAGACAGATATGCCCTTCTCGTTGAACGAAGGATGATGGGTATTAATGATGAAGCATTTTATTTCGTTATGAGCCATGACAACCAGTAGAAAAGAACAGATTACAGAGAGGTTTCAGAGAATCTGGTTATGATTAGATCATATGGCACCCTGACATAATGCTGAACTTCATCTAGTTTATCTAAAAGAAGGTAAAAGTCATGAACCATCTTCCCTCTTTGATCACTACATATCCCACAATTACTAATTTCTTCCTAAAAGAATTCTGTATTCAAATAATTATCCTGAAGGAGTACTAGTATTTTGTAGCTAAAAAAGTTAAAATATGTTATTTAATGTGCTTGCTTCCATAGATGGCTGGATGATGTTGTACAGGTCACTTTGCTTCCCAAGCCATCCTGGGAAAATGGGCATCATGGCACTGACATCCTCTGTAAAACAGTGAGATGCACAGTGCCATGTCAGGAGTAGACAGATACTTCTGCTTTCTATGGGTATTGTTATCATCAGGGTCACCATCCTTTGAATGCAAGGGCAAAGCATTCCAGGTGTGTTTACAGGGATGGGCTGGAAAGGTTGGCTTGTTGACTACCACAATGAGTCCTCCTTGCAGACTCCTGCACAAATTCACTGTAATCGGTTGGCAGTGCATGGAGGAACCTGGGCATTACTGCAGCCACCTCCAGCCTCTGCTGCCTCCATTTCCATGCATTTGGTAACAGGGTGACAGTCCTACAGGGCAGGGTAGCTCGTGACAATGTGTCCTGCTCTGTCCTTCCAGGAGCAGATACCGATGCCAACATGTCCTTGATTCTGTTCAGGGAGAACTGGGACAGTGGGACCCTCGCTCTGAAGGAGTCCAACAAGTCTAACAAGTTTGAGAGGAACCAGATGGACGAATTCACCTTTCCTGACATGCTGAGCCTGGGAGAGCTCTGCAAAGTGAGGATCTGGCATGACAACAAAGGTCAGTGTGAAGATACGGGTGGGATGGGAGCGGCTGGGACGTCTGCATGGGCAGATACATCTGTGGACATGATGCAAGTTGAGGATAGACCAAGCAACCTCAAGTGTTTTGCTTGGCCTTCTGTGTCTCATTTCCCTTCCTGATGGTATAGGATCTGCTATAACAGGTCCCCAGCTTTGGTCAGAGCTTATAGCCACCACTGAAGGACAGAAAATGGTAACTCCTCCTAAGCAGAGGCACCCAGCCCATTACCCTAACACAGCAACTCTATTAATGCAATATGTTTGTCACAGGCCAGTATTGCACTCTCTGAGCAATTTAACACTATCGACCTGACACTGACATGTGGGGTAATGCAGCCTGGCATCATGTAGTGAGCTTTGGAAGGTAGAAATCATGATCTGTGTCTGGCTTTATTAGAATTACTCCATCATATGGCGAGTGCGCAGTGCCCCGCCAAGAGGAATGCTGACATTTCCCTGCTGCTGGACACTGTTACCGGTTGCATGAGCCATAGCAGTCATTTGTGCTGTTAGTCAGGTGTCAAGCAGCATCTTGTGACAAAAGCCTCAACCTGCGCTGTTGTCATGATGCCTCTCCCAACCCCCACCTTCTCTTTCAGACTTCATCTAAAATAAATGATCTTACATTAACAAAGCACCAGTCGGTCCTGGCTGCAGCCCTTGCTGCAGCCCAAAGGTTGAGGACTCCCACAGACACACCTGGCTGGTATTAGCTATGTGTTTTGGACAGCAGTATTTATTCCAAGTCTTGGGAGGATTTGCAGCAGAACTTCCCAGTCCCTCTCTGACTGGACTGCTGTCCATGCTGGGGCAGCTGGCTTGAGTTTGAGCTTTTCCTGCAGTATAGACATTCCCCAACAATCCTCTTCTTGACTCTCCATGTTGTGGCAGATGGGGTGGATTGCAGCTCACACAGTATTGCTATCTATCATCTCACACATAAGATGGTGTGTGAGATAGATAGCAACATAGGAGAATTTAGTCAGTTAACCTCTGTGACTTCTAGTGATATAGCTGATATTGAATGCAGTTAGGGGGCTGATTTTGCCTAGTTTTGATTTTAGTTGCCTAAGCCCCTATTCTTTGAATCTGGATTTAGGATGCAGAAGTGAAAAGTACTACCAAATATCCACTAGAGTTTTAGCTCAGCAAAAAGGCATCTCTGCATCTGCAAGTGAGGTTTGGATGTCATTCCAAGATCAGCAAGTGGTCAGCACAGTCTTGCACGTTCATTTTCAAATCTATTACCAACTCAAAGTTCTATGAAGAGAACATTTTCCTTAGGAAACCTTGCAGGAGTCCCAGCACTGGGTCACACTAACTGAATGAAACCTACCCATTGGATTCAGAGCTGATGCCTAGGGCTCTGGCACGGGAAAAGGATGAAACATAGGAATAGAAAAACTGGGTTAGACCAAGGGTCTATCAAGGCCAATGGCTGTTTCCACCAGCAGCCATAATTAGATGCCTGAGGAAAAGAACTGAGCAAGCAGATATAATCCTTCCCCAGCTATCAGCATCCCACTGTTTGTAGCTCAAGGGATTTATTGAGCTGGATGTCATTTTTGCCTGTTAAGTAACTTTCCATAGATTTTCTCATCCAAGTGCTTCTCTAGGCGCTCAAATAGACACTTGGTGTCTGCAATGTACAATGGCAATGGTTTATCTTGCACAGAGCTGCTATGTGCAGTTTTGGTGCCCTTTCCTTCTTGCACAAGTAATCCAGATTCACTTTTTCCATGACATTGATGATGCTGTCACCACAGGTTAGCGAGTTGCCACATTGGCTGCAATGTGCCCTGTAATTGCTAGCTGAATGCTCCTGGTTGGTGGCAAAGGGAGGTAACAGAGCTTAGCCTTAGGCTAAGCAGCAAATGGTCTCAATTAGTTTACATTTGCTGTGGGCAATGTAGGTACCCAGATAGTCACCATGGGTCAGCTAAAACCTGTGTTCAGACCCTGAGAAAATTGTTCATATTTATGAATAACAGTACACATTGCAACCTTAGAGTTTTCTTCATTTCCCTTAAGTCAGCCTTTTTGATTTATAAGTAATAGGTAATAGGGATTTTACCAGACCTAGCTGTCTGTAAAGTTAAGCCTTGGACAAACAACATGCTCAGGTTTTGTTCTGCATGAATATACTTGGTTTCCCCCCTCCCCTTAAGAAGGACAACTGTAGTTTAAATCATAACATATGTTATGTCATTGTTCTTGCATTAGTCATATGAAAGGTGTATCCTTGTGTAAAACTTCCTGCAACGAAGCATGGCAGTTTGTTGGGTGGATAAAGTATTTATTACTGCTAGGATCCCAAGCTATAGCTGTCCTTGGCGTATATGCCTGCTCTCTCTGTATAATTTGTATAAATTGGCTGTGCCACTAGTTAGAAATTCCTGGCTCTGTTTTTTTGGAAAGGAGCAGTAGGGTCAGGGGCTGAGGGTCATGTATGGTTTTTATCAGATGCTTTGGGGACTTTGAGTTTAAAAAACAAAAATGCACTTCTCTTTACCATTACTTGGAGGCATCAGCTCTTGATCATTCTTCTTTCCCTTTTTTTTCATTTTCAGAGCTACTAAATGATGCTGTGGAAGACCCAGTCTATCACTTTACTACTCCATTGCCCTTCCTGTGATGAATATTTGGAATGCAGATGATGTTCTTTTCCAAAATTTCTTACTAATCAGCCATAATAGCAGCATCAGCCTGCTTTGACTCACATTAGTTCTTCTTGCATAGCATAAAGGCTAGTTAAGGGAATTGCCAACCCTTACATGTCTCCTTTTTCTTCCAAATTTCACCTGGTCCCAGCAATAAGTGAACCAGCCTGACTCCATTTCTGGATGAAATGCATTTAAATGACTTGTCCACGGTGGTTAGTTTGCCATGAAATGCAACTCAGCATTTGGTCCATGGGCTCCAGAATAATCACTACCCTCATCAAAGTTTTACTGCAGAGGATTTGCCACCAGGTCGTGTCCCACTTCTGTCTAATCTTCCACAAAAAATTGACTGTGCTGGGGTATTTGTAGTAGAGAAGATAGTAATTGCAGTGGGAAAGATTTTAAAGACTGTCAAATAGTCTAGGCCATAAACATTGCATTTGTCTTTTCTGGAGAAGCATATCAAAGTGTTAGTTTTATGGTCTTACTTTAGTGTTTTGAGGTGTCATTTTTCCCTATAAAAACTGCTGGTGGCACCTCTGTGTTTAATATAAAGAAGGAATTTAGCCTCCATCCAATTCCTCTGACTTCAGGAAAATTGATTAGGGAAGAAGTCATCATTCATTTGAAAACAGGCAGATTACAGGTTACTTTTAAGTAACTTGTTCCTGATTTTTTAAATATATAGAGCACACCAGCAAAATCTGGTTACAATGAATTTATGTGAAAGAAATTTAGATTTAAGCTTTGCTACTTGTCTTTTTATCCTGCCCCTGCTTACTTTGAGATACTGATGTTCGACCTAATATATTTAGACTCCCAGAGCAAATTTAATCACTTTTAGACTCCCCATCTCCTGATCTCAGATAGGCACTATGTATTTTTCTCATATCTTGGTTCATTTACTTCTACATTTATGCAAGATCAGTATCTGTAGGTCTGTACAAATGCTGGCTTTCTAAATATAGGCCTCTTTTTTTTTTTCCCTCTGGTTTAGGGACTAAATCACCATTCTGGAAAAACGGTTAAAAGTTTCTCAATATCTCAGTAGTGGAATTATTTACCTATAGAAGGCTTTTTTCTTTCTTTTTTTTTTCCTTTTTCTTTTTCTTTTTTTTTTCTCACTGCAAGGAGTTGTGGGAAATCTGGGTTTACTTCTTCATCTGTCTAAGTAGATTTCAACCCACATGACAAACAGTCTTTCCAAAGTCATTAATTTCAGATTCTTGATTATATTAGTTGCCATCAGCCAAGAGGAGCCAGGAAAAGTCTAATTACCCATAAAACAGGCTTCTCTGTGTTATTACAGAGCAAAAGATAGAAATAAATAACCAGGTTATGCAGTTCAACTGCTTCTCTGCCTGAACAGGACACTTCTCAATTTCACCAACCAATAGTGCATTGTATAACTGAGACTTAAATACCCTAACTGCTCCATGATGAATCCTCTTGGGTGGCTCTTCCAAAGGGGAAAGTATCTTATTCCCCTTTCTTGAGCTGGACACAATTCAAGAAGAGTATGTCTGGTTTTGCTTTCCTTTCTCTGAAGGAGTTGCCTTTTCCAGGATCTTTGTATCAGATTTCAGATTGCCCAGGCCTTCAGCTCACAACATTTTGCATTTCCAGCAATATGTTTTTGCATCTCAGAAGCATGATTCTAAGCTTTTTGGAAGCTAGGCGAACATAAATTATTAAAAGAAGCACAAAGATCTTCTTTGCTCTTTGTAGGGATTTGTTTGGCTATCAGACTCCAAAACAGGTCTTTTTAAAGTCCTTCTCTCAGTGCTTCATAAATCCTGTAGATCCATGGGGCAGATCAGTTAATAACTTCTGCTTTAAATAAAAAGTGGAGGAAGGAGAAATAGCTGTGTAAACCTGACCAAGGAGAGAAGCCAGCATCTTTCCCCCACTTTGTCATGGTGGCCTTGGTGGTTTGGGACACAGCTTTGATTCCTGCACTGTCCTTCATGGATTGCAGTGGTGCTGCTGACAAGGCAGAGGTGCCAGTGCAAGCTGCAAACCTTCATATCGCACGCCAGCAGCCCTGCCATGGCCTCTCAGTCCTTCAGATTTGACAAATCCAGCCTCAGCCCCTCAGGAGACCCTGGCATAGACCTGTCAGACCCTACCATAGAAGTGGGCAAATACACCTCTGTAGCAGATTTCTTTCACTCAGCTGTCTGTCACCAAAATATACTACCAGCATTGCAGCACTAGCAGAAGACACAGCAAAGATCTCAGTCTGGAGCTGATATGAAGTAGGGAAAAAAAAAAGAAAAGATGTAAGCAGAGAAAAAAGGAGACTTGGAGACAA